ACCCGGCCGTTCTGGCCGTTGGCCGCCATGTTGCCCTTCATTGCTACTGGGTTGAGGGAGAGCTCCAGGCCCAGAGGTTTCCGCGGGAACTCCTCAGGCTTTGCTGCATTTGAAGCAGAGAAAACAAAATAAAACCCAAACTGTGCATCAGCTTATTCTTGCATCCGGCATGCCCTGACTGCGGGGAAGGCAGAATGCTGCACCTAGCAGGCACCAGCCCTTCTAGGCTGCCCCGGCTCCCCGCCATGGCAGAGGGATGCTCTGGTCCCCAGGGGACACGGGTACTGCTGTTCCCGCTGAGCTGCCCACCTTCCCCTTTACTCACCTGGTGGGGGGAGGTCAAATTTCATCTTGCGCAGTTCGGTCATCGACACCTGCAGTTGCTCGATGACGGCATCATCCTCGTATTGCAGGGAAGCAGCAATTTTCTCCTGCAGAAATTCCCGTAAATCTTCCAGTGTCATCTTCAGCAAGCGCTCTGGGGGACAGTAGAAAGGAGTAATGGCAGCAGCACGGCCAAACTGCAGGGCAGCACAAGCATGGGTTGCATTGCTTTGGCTTTATCTGGGATTCTGCTGCTGTTCCCTCTACGGGGTGGGACAGCCTGAACGTTTTTGCCTCTTTCCCACCTTCCCACTGTTGCTCAGGGTTGTCGATACATTCTACATATCTGCGCCACCTCTGGGCAGTAGCTCAGCAATGGCAGGACAACAGTGGGGCTGGGACCTATGCTGACCTAGGCATGTTCTGGGCCATTTCTGGAAGTTCTCACAAATACCTCTAGGAGGAGGAAAAGCTCCATGAGATAGACCTGGAATGTCAGACTGAACAGCCACTGCCAGCAGCCACCACTGCCAGCCAGGGCTGCCAACCTGCACCAGCCAGCAGGCAGGGATGCAGGCAGGGATGCTGACCCACGCCAGGGATGCAGGCAAGGATGGGATGCAGGCAGGAACGGGATGCAGGCAGGGATGCCAATCTGCACCACACATTCCTCAGGGAGGAGAGATGATTTCACAGCCCTGCTGAAACTTCTGCCTGCCAGCTTCCCAGTCTTTGCAAACAAACAGGATACTTGAAGATGTATTTCTGGATAGCCTGTTCTTCATTCAACTGAAGGAAGAGCAGGGTGGCTGTTGGCAGAAGCCAACACACGCAGCTCCATAAATCCCACTGGCCCAAATGTTCCCAGCAGGCAATATCAGCACCGCTCCTGTCCCAGATTAAAGACCTAACAGGGTGACAAACCAAAGCTGCTAGCTTATGGGAGTGGAGGGGTTCAAAGACCCAAAGGAGCGAAGGTAGAAACATCACTGCCTTAATGCTACGTATGAAAACTAGGTTTTGGTTATCTTAGTGTATTAATGGATTTATTTCTCCCTCTACAGCCTTTTCAGTTGAACTGCCACATAGAGCTTTGCAGGCAGGTGGGCTGCTGTCTGTGTTGCCCCTAAAAGCGTGTTGATAAAAGATGTGGGGCGCAGCATGCATAAAGAGGCAGTGTTTCAGGTGGCATTTTCTGTGCGCTGAGTGCAGGATTTCAACCCTTGAGGCATCTCATTTCCTCCCCGAAGCATCAGCATGGGACCGTGCCTTTCGAGGCCACCACAGGGCACTGAGCAGGCTGGTAGTGGCCAGAAAGGCTTTCCAGGTTGGCAGCACAAGGATGGCCCAGCACGGTGCCATCTCTGCCATACGAGACACACTCTACTGGGACCTTACTTTTGTGCAGTTTGAGGATGGTGTAAGCCATGGCTGTCAGCACCCGCTCTCCTTCCAGGATGTAGATATCCCACAGCCGCAAGGTGAGGGTGAAGGGGGTCTGTTTCAAACACACAAACAAAAAACCATCTTGTTAGGACCACACTCGTTAGCACGGATTGATAGGATGATAACACAGAGGCTGGTGGTATCACTACGTCCCCTCACACCAAAACACACAACAGGGCAAGGCATTGGATGTCCAGGATTCATCTATAATACAAACACCTATTTTATCATGTATGGTGTTGCCTTAAAGCTAGCAGACACCTTGTGTGGTTGAGAAAGTACTTAAAACCCAGCCGTGAATGCAGAAAAAGGAGAAATTTTCCACACAGTCATACTAGTACAAGGATTCCCCTACCCTGGAGGGAGCAGCATCATCTTTCAGCCTTGCAGGTGCACAAAACCACTCCTGTATCCACCTAAATTGCCCAAACAGATGAAGGGCTATTTATGGGATAGGTCTGAAGGCCCAATGGTGCTTCACTAAGCATTAAAGAAATCACTCCTCTGGTGCCCAGAGGAGTGGTCTTCCTTACACACAGGTTTATTTCTGCCTGCTAGAAAAACCTCTGCAAGAGGTTTTCATTTGCACCCAGACCCAATCTGACAAACAGGAGAGAACTGATATTCAAAATAATGGAGCAGTCCATCACCTCTCAGCAAAGATTTAAAGCATCTCACCAGCACAGAAAATAATACTAGTCCTACTGTGACAATTTAAGTTCAAATTTAGGATGCTGCGCTTACCCTCCAGAGTTTGTCACGACTGGCCATCGCAGCTCTTTTACCACATTACTGCAGTTAAAAGGATTTTGCATTTTCTACAGCTTTTAGTGACAGATTGCAAAGCAATGAGCCCCCTCTCGAGGGGCAGAGGTCATCCACTATTTTGTGGGAGATGGGGCAGCAGAAAATTGAAACTGGGGACACTTAGATGTCCTAAACATTAGCAAGTCTGGATCTTGTGTTCAAGTGTGCAAGCACAACGCTGCCCCTAAAAATAAAGTAGTCTTGGCTCTGGACTGACACATTAGCTCTGGACAAATCAGGGTAATTTTCTCATACTTTCATGTGTCTCCAGTGCCCAGCCTGCTCCTTTGCCTGCAGCTGCTGCAGTGCCGTTTGTTTAGGTTTGTGCCTCCAGCTCTTCTTCTCCCTACTTTGTTTCCAGAGCCAAAGTGAGGTTAATTGCTTTTGCAGCAGTGCCAGTGGACAAGAGAAAGATCTCTCCTGACTTTGAAGCTTATACTGCTGCTGCTGAGCCATCTCCCAGTGACCGCTTGTGATGAGGCAGCAGGAACTGGCTTGTCATCAGTGATATGCAGTTATTTTCAGCTTCTCCTTTATTAATTTTTTTGCCTTATGAGAGCGTGCATAATATCCCACCTTACAAAATATTAACACCTCTTCAAATTATGATACTTTTTCAAAAAAACAGGTGGATTAACCATGCATGCAAGCAACAGAGCAGCAAACAACCCTCAGAGCATCCTCACCCGGTCAATGAAACACTGCAGGAACCACTTGGTCGTGTAAATCCCCGTAGTCATCTGCTCCTTGTCCTAGGAGGAGACAGCAGAGACAGGTGTTTCACCAGGCTGGCTGCTGGAGGTTCAAGCAACTCATAGGGCTTTTGGTGAGGTTGGTTGGTTGATTAATGCTGGGGTCTGAGTGCTGGATCTGGCTGTGGTTTGTCTCCCAACAAAGCCCCTGCTTTAAATATCAGTGTTGAAGCCCTGCTTTGGCCCTTTGCACAAGATATGCATTGAACCTGATCCTCGACATGGCCAGACTTCAGCCACAACTTTGGAAAGTGATTTCTAGGAGAAGCTTTTCTGGTCTAGTAGCTACTCCAGGGATTTACAAAAACCTTCTAGGAACCCAACCCATGCACTCCTTGCAGATTACCATTTTTGTTTCTATAGCAATTCCCATGTGAGCACCACAAAAATGATTAACCCCAAATATCCCACAGGTAAATCCAGACCTGCACAGTCAAGACAGCTTTGCTACCACTACCTCATTTGCATGGCATGGCTGCTGCAGGAGCAGGACGGCCTGACAGGCTAATGACAACTCTTTAAAAACCTCACCAACATCACCCCAGTCTACCACTTTTCCATCTCTTTCTGGCCGGTGCAGCGCTCACACACAGCTTTGCTTTTTCTGGTAGTGCCGATAGCGTGGCACAACCAGTGCTGGGATGTGCAGCGCCCTGCATGTGCAAAAAGTTGACATGACCATTGCTGCAAAGCCAGCAAAGCAGCAGGGATGGGAAGAGAAAGAAGCCCATGGGATTAACGGCCAGCTCTGGTCTCTGCTTTTGGCTGGTGCCGGGCACATGCAAGCCTGCGGAGCCTTCAGGAGCCAGGAGGCACGAGCAGCTTTCAGAGAATCACTGCCAAGCTCTCCACCCAGGTTTCCCCACCCCAGTGGCTATAATTAAGCGAAATCCTGTCCTGGCTCTGTTTCACTTATATGGCCAGGGCTGGCTTATTCACAGAATGAGGCAAGAGTTGTTGCAGATGATGGCAATATAAACAGCTTTTCCTAGAGCTTGGCCACAGAGCCCCTTGGGAGCATAAGAAACCTTCAGGAGTCTGGCCACTGAATATCAACTGTCTACAGCAAATACAAAGCGGAGGGGGAAAAAAAAAAAAGGGAGCAGGTGTTGCAAAATAGTTGCCTAGATGTTAGGCTGCAGTTGATATGTCCTGCAGATGCACCTCCAGCCACCAAATGGGCTTGTACCACCTGCTAGAGAGAAAAACAACTGGACATGCCCAAGCACAAAACACACAGCAAATCTTACATACCTCCTGTCTTCAAACAGCAAAGCCATTAAATGCAAGCACTTGGTGCTAATAATTATTGAGTTAAGACTCCAGACAGTCCACCATCACCCTTTGGGCTTTGCAGCTGGTGTAAGAACACAGCCCAGTCTTGCTGCTGTATGCAACAGCTCCTTTTGCTGCAGGCTCCATGAGCCTTCCTGCCTGGCTTTCCTGAGGAAGGCTTCAGATTTTAGCAGTCCCTACACTAATGATGACTAGCAAGCAAATGATAGCCATTCGCCTCAGCAAGATTCAGGCACCCCATTTAATAAAAGCTTGCCTCTTGGTGGCTGAAGCAGTCCTACACAGTTAGAAATCTGTTCAGTTGTGCATCTATTTAGCAGAACATTGCACTAATTGCTTTAGCATTAAAACATGATATTAGTATGGGCAGACTGATAGCAAAGAGATACCATGTGTTTCTTCAGTTTGGGAAACAGTTTGCTTAATATCTGCTCGTGGTGAGCTTGAAATCTCTGCAACTTCGGGAACCCAGGAATGAAAAAACCTTAATGAGAAAAGATGAGAGAAATAATAAATAATCAGAAAAGCTCTGTAGCAGTCATGGGGGCAGCCTGATTTTCTACACACTCATCCCGTGTTGCCTGTTGAAGTTGGCTGGACCACAGCATGCCCAGCTACCTCCCTTGGCATCCCTCCCAGAGCCTGCCCTTCACCCCGTCTACATGGGCGACAGCACCCTCACCACCAACCCCAGCTGGTCCTTCTCACCCCAGCCCTGCAGAGCAGACCCGCTCGCCTCCCAGTTGCCTGCCTGCCTGAGACTTGACTTGGCCATGACCTCTCTGAACACAGCTCACTGCTTACCAAGGTTCAGAGAAAAGCTGAAGATGTTTGAACACCACAAGCTCGTATGGTGCCCTGTAATCTAGCAGGACACATGTGAAGAGTGTCTGGAGTTATCAAGCTGTAAGGCTTAGCCCTCTGCTCATAAAATAACCCTCTGTGCTCTGCTAACCACAAGTAAGATGAAAGGATCTTTAATGTGTTTGAAGTAAAATAATACAACACATTTGGTGGAATTAGATCTTCATAAAAACACAAGGGCATGTAGCTCATGGCATGCTAAAAATGGAGCATTTTCATGATGCTCTTGGATGTACTTCTGTGAGACTTCTTAAAAACTGATAACCTTGAGTTAATTGATTGCTAAGGGCAAGGCATTCCAGAGGGAAGACAGCACCTCTGTGAAAGTGTTAATTACTGAGCCCCAAAGTTCAGTGCTGATAAACTACATTTTTTTCTGATGAACTTGTCTGCCTTCAAGAGTGAAGTTCAGTGCTGCAGTTGGGTTGAGTTGGCACATAATTAAGCCTTACCTCCTTTAAACAAGTATGTGAGGAGAAATGAGGCTGTACCAACCAACCTAAACAGACTTCCCTCCCGCTGCAAGAGCCCTCATCTGCACCCCGCCCCAGCCTTACCATGCATGGCATGCCGCTGGTTGGTCAGCAGTTGTGCCAGTGCCCAAAATGCATCCTCTTCGTTTAAGTACATCAGGAGGATGGCTGCGATCTGGCTCATCCCTTGGCAGTAGCTCACTTCCTGCAAGAGCCAAGAGGGGTACGCATGCTGCCATGCCATGAGACCCCACCATGATGCTAAAGCTGCAGAAGAGGTCAGGCTGCCTGTGCTTCCCTCTCCTCTTTCAAGGTCTGTCCCATTTTAAGGTCTTTATTGATAATGCCCAAATTCACAGCTCCCATAGGTCTACAGCATCTACCATGTCACTGACTCACAGAGTGGTTTGGATTGGAAGAGACCTTTGAAGATCATCTCGTTCAACCCCCCTGCCATAGGCAGAGACACTAGATCAGGTTGCTCAAAGCCCCCATCCAACCTGACCTTGAACACTTCCAATGATGGGTCATCCACACTTTCTCTGAGAAACCTGTTCCAGTGTCTCAACACCCTCACTGTAAAAAAAGTCTTCCTTATGTCCAATCTAAACCTACCCTCTTTCAGTTTAAAATCGCTGTCCCTTGTCGTGTCACTATTGGCCCTGGTAAAAAGTCTTTCTGTCTTTCTTATAAGCTCCCTTTATATATTGAAAGGCCACAATAAGGTCTGCCTGGAGCCTTCTCTTCTCCGGGCTGAACATCCCCAACTCTCAAGTCTTTCTTCATGCCAGCAGTGTTCTGGTCCCCTGTCCTTTTTTGTGGTCCTCCTCTGGACCTGCTCGAGTAGGTCCTCTAGCAGGAGGTGAGGTACTTGCAGGCAATGTGCTCCAAAATGCTGCTCCTCCTATCAGCCCTGCTCAAGCCTTAGGGCGAGAGACAGAAACCGCAACATAAGAGGTGCCTGCAGCTACTTCAAGGAATAGGGGATGGGATAATAAACAGCATGTGGCTCCAATATGGTTTTGGATTCCTTCAGCCATGTGAGTACTGAAGTAATTAAAGAATAAATAAAGCTGGTAAGCATTTATCCAATATGAGGGAAGGGTCTTTGTTTCCTTGACTAGACCCCTGAGCATCTTCTGTGCCTTCAGGGGTCATTGTCCTGTCCTAGAGATGGAGGCTGTAGGTTCCAGCTGCTAATTTGGCTTATCCTGCCCATGCCCCTCAACTAAAAATGACTGGTTCGCTGTAATGAATCAGTGTTTTCAACAAGGATGCCATTCAGTGTATGACAAGAAGTCAGAAACATGACAGACCTTCAGCCAGGAGGCTAGTCTTGCTTGAAAGCCAAAGGGCAATCCCTAGCTCTTTGCTGACACTCGCCCAAACCGCATCTGCCAGATGTCATTTACCAGGTGACAAAATAAACAACGGAATGAAACAACCCTGCAAAGAGTCTTGTGCTGCCTGCGAGTCTTACAGCCATCTGTACAAACCAGTATTAGGACCTAAAATTGGAATTACCAACGGCTAAACATGGGAGTGTGTTTATATATATACACACAAACATGTGTGTATATATGTGTATGTACATACATATATAAATATATGTAAAACTTTTAGAAAATCTTTAGATAAATACAAATATAAATATTTCTCTCTCTCTCTCTATATATATATATAAAAAGCACAACACTATTCACGTTAACTGGACTAACTTACTACTTACAGTGTTATAAACCGAGTATGCTGACAGGACATGGAAGAGTGCCTGTTGCCTGGGGAGAAAGAAGCATATTAAAGCACCTGAGCGTGCAAGGTCTCCAGCTTCATGTGCACACCAACGCGTACGCCCAGAGAGCAAAGGCTCTGAAAACACCCAGCCAACTGGTACTTATGCCTTTGGCAAGGAGCAGGGCTCACAGAACCAGAAAGCACCTTGATGGCCACGTGGGGTGGGACCTCTTCTTTCAGGGGTGAGTCACCAGCGGCCCCATGGAGCAGGACTGAACCAGCCTGCTCCATCAGCAGGTCTCCTAGAGAGACATGCACATACACACACGTGCTGTGTTCAACACACCCGCTCTTCGTGTTTGGAGTGGTAGTGGGTTTTTAATAGACTTGCAACCACCCACACATCAAGTGTTACACATCCTAGGGGAAAGCACTGCCACCATTTTATTAGTAGGTTCCTTTCTCCCTTCTCTCCTTGCTAAAGGAGTCATCACCATATAGATACACAGTGCAGGCTTCCTCACAGACTGTATGTCTGTATAGGGCAGCCAGGTGTGACTCATCCAAGTGACAAAGCCACTTTGTCAAACCTCTCCAACCCCATCTATTGTGGAGGTCACATATGCCCCATCCCACCCATCTCCCGACAGACCCACCCCATCATCCCAGCCATCCCAAATCAAGCCCTCCGCAACTGCAACTTTGGCATCCTGGGGGACAAGATACTGCAACAGGCTGATGCTTGGGTCAAGAACTGGGGCTGAATGTGGTCCAGTGTGGACCTGTCTGAAGAGATAATCAGCAGCCCAACATCTGTGGGTCATACCAAGTGCTGATGGTTTGTGGAGCAGGCCGAGATGGCTTTGCTGTCCCGTGAGCTGCTCTAAGCCAGGGGGCTGGTGGCCGCCCCATCCAGCTCATCCCACGGACACCCACTGGCACCGATGCCCATACAGCCACGCAAAGCCTCCTGTACTCACTTCACTCCATAGCGATCCCGAAACATGATGTGGTTTCGGAAGGTGCGGTTAACGTCCAAATCAATCTGCTTGATTTCTGATGAACAGCTCTTTGCTTGTTCTTTCATTTGCTGGAAGGGAGAAGGGCAGACAAGAGGAAGGAGTCAGACAGCATCTCAGCCTCTCTCCACGCAGCGAGAAGGCATGCCTCCTGCAGCAGGAGTGGCAGTTTGTGAGCTGCACAGAGCTATTGCAAAGCAACTCGGGGACACCGTCGTCTTGCAGTGAGCAACGATCTGCAGCCCGGAGGTGAATCCCTGGCCCCATGGCTGTGCTGCTGGCCCAGGGAGAAGGGGACAACCCCATGCTCACATGCTGCGACAGCAGCAGCTGCCAACCCAGCCTTTGCCCATCTTTCAATGCAGATACTAAGTTTTCAGAATTTAAAACCTTTACAATTAAATTCCACTCTGATTTCTTTTGATTTCTTTGTGGTACCTGGCCTGGCTGTCATAAAGCATCTATTGGCACTTAAGGAACAATACACTTCTATAACCAACATGCGGATGTAAGCACCGAGTCCCCAAGCTTTTCAGAGGGTCAGTCATAATAAAGTCCAAACAAAAGTCCATGGACTCTATTAAGTGATCTCTAACTCCTACTTCCCCTGCAGAATAGAAAAGCAGTTCTAGGGTATTCTCTTGGACTGGTGCAAATTTTAAGTAACTGGCAGAGTCCAGAACAGAAGCTAAACTCAAAAGCAAGAATTCCCATGTTTCCCCCATGCTGGTTAATCATTTAAGGCAGCATCACACAGATAAAGGACTGAAGTCCACTGCAAAAAACAGGAAATTCAAACCAAATCTAAGCCCACCTCAAACAACTGCATCCTCAGAGTCCTACGCTCAAGATGTTATGGACAAATCCCCCTGCAGTCCCACTCATAACCCACTGTTCAGCCCTGTGCATAAAGGCAAGGACCACTGTGCTACAGCCAAGCATCTCATGTCACAGCCTTTAGATACCACCTAAATTGATCATGCAATTACCCTCCTTTAATATCTCCAGGGTTAACTGCATTAATAAAATACATTTTGTGACTGTCTTCAGGCAGCCTGAGATCCACCAGCAGGTACAGGGCAGCAGAGATGAACAGCAAGCCCAGTTTGTCTGGAGCCCAGGGTCAGGACCCCTCCTTGCTCACAGAGGAGATAGAAAATAGCACATTTGCACAGACACTTAATCGTCTGCTCCAGCAGCTGCCATCCTATGAATGCTTGTCAGCCTGATGCAAGGTGCCTCCAGGCTGCTGTTGACCTCCTGAGGTGGCAGCATCAGCTCTGTGGAACTGTGGTGGGTTGACCCTAGTTGGATGCCAGGTGCCCACCAAAGCCGCTCTATCACTCCCCTCCTCAGCTGGACAAGGGAGAGAAAATACAGAAGAGGTTGTGGGTCGACGTAAGGACAGGGACATCACTCAGCAATTACTTTCACAAAGGCAAAACAGACTCGAGTTGGGAAAATTAGTTTAATTTATTGCCAATCAAATCAGAGTAGAGCCAATGAGAATTAAAACCACAGCTTAAAACACCTTCTTCCCATCCCTCCCTTCTTCCCAGGCTCAAGTTCACTGCTGATTTCTCTACCTCCTCCCCCCAAGCAGCACAGGAGGATGGGGAATGGAGGCTGTGGTCAGTTGTCTCTGCCACTCCTTCCTCGTCAGGGGGAGGACTTCTCACTTCCCCTGGTCCATCGTGGGGTACCTCCCATGCGAGACAGTTCTCCACAAACTTCTCCAACATGAGTCCTTCCCAGAGGCTGCAGTTCTTCACAAACTGCTCCAGCCTGGGTCCCTTCCACAGGGTGCCGATCTTCAGGAACAGACTGCTCCATCGTGGGTCCCCCGCGGGGTCACAAGTCTTGCCAGCAAACCTGCTCCAGCCTGGGCTCCTCTCTCCGTGGGGCCACATGTCCTGCCAGGAGCCTGCTCCAGAGAGGGCTTCCCATGGGGTCACAGCCTCCTTCGGGCATCCACCTGCTCCGGCGTGGGGTCCTCCATGGGCTGCAGGTGGAGATCTGCTCCAGCGTGGAGCTCCATGGGCTGCAGGGGGACAGCCTGCCTCACCATGGTCTTCACCACGGGCTGCAGGGGAATCTCTGCTCTGGTGCCTGAGACACCTCCTGCCCGTTCTTCACTGACCTTGGTGTCTGCAGAGTTGTTTCACATCTTCTCACTCCTCTCTCCAGCTGCAATTGCTGTGTGCCAGGTTTTTTTCCCCCCTTCTTAAACATGTTACCCCAGAGGCACTACCACCATCACCGATTGGCTTGGCCTTGGCCAGTGGTGGGTCTGTCTTGGAGCCACCTGGTGCTGGCTCTATTGGACACAGAGGAAGCTTCTAGTAGCTTCTCACAGAAGCCACCCCTGCCACCCCCATGCTACCAAAACCTTGCCAAGCAAACCCAACACAGGAACAACAAAAGTTCATTAGCTCCCAGATGTGTCCAGCACAGCCAGTGCTCAGGGCAGTCACAGCATCTTGGGAATATTAACTCCAACCTTGAAAGCAGCTGTATGGAAAAGCAACAGTGCTGGGGCTATTTTGAATTATTGCCTCTCCTGGTTTTAGCTGGGATAGAGTTAATTTTCTTCTTAGTAGCTTATATAGTGCTGTGTTTTGGATTTAGGATGAGAATAATGTTAATAACACGCTGCTGTTTTAGTTGGTGCTGAGCAGCACTTACACTAAGTCAAGGACTTTTCAGTAGGTCATACTGCTCTGCCAGGGAGATGGCTGGGGGTGCACAAGAAGCTAGGAAGGGACAGAGCCAGGACAGCTGACCCAAATTGGCCAAAGGGATATTCCACACGATATGACATGATGCTGAACAATAAAACCGGGGTGGGGGGGAAGTTGGCTGGGGGGTGGTAGCTGCTGCTCAGGGACTGGCTGGGCATCGGTCAGCAAGTGGTGAGCAACTGCACTGTGCATCACTTGTTTTCCATATTCTTTTATGTTATTATTATTTTCCCTTCCTTTTCTGTCCTCTTAAATTGTCTTTATCTCAACCCACAAGTTTTACCTTTTTTTTCCCTAATTCTCTCCGCATCCCACTGCAGGGGAGTAAATGAAAAGCTGTGTGGTGTTTAGATAGACCTTTTTGGTGCCCAAAATGGGGCTTGAAGGGTTGAGATGACAGATCTGACCAGAGCGTGTTAAAACAAATTTGTTATAAGCATTCATTATATTAGTTTAATAGTCACTGCTCACAATGTTGATTTATTTGCTCAGAGTTGTTGTGCTTGTTCTCAGAGTTGTGTTATGCAACACCTTACTTGCTGTACATGTTTGCTGTTGTGCTGTTTATCATCTCTAGGGGCTGGATTAATGCTATCATTTTGCTGTACTGTGTAACACTGGCTTATGATATGATAAAATTTCTGGTCGTGAGACTAATCTGCTATTTGTACACAGCACTGCTGTCATCTCCGTACTTCAGAAACCATCTCTCAGAAACTATTAATAATTACACTCTTCACCTTTTCTCCTCAGAGAGCCCCCAGTAGGGGAGACAAGGGAGGGGGACACTCTCCCCGACTCCTTCACCTTCCTCTTCTCCTCTAGGCTAGTTACAATAGCTCTTGAGAATTTTGAATATCCTTGGGATGTTCAAACCAGCATGTTCCTATTGCTATGTCTCCTGAATGTGTTTCAGGTCTTAAAGTTAAACAATTATTTAAGAATACCCCCCAGAGAGCTGCCCTGAGGCTGGATAGTTATGAGTGCCAGGCTGTGTGTATGAGTATGGGCAAGTAATTAGGACAGTGGGCACCCCCAGTGTTTTGGAACTTTACCCCTGAACAAGTGCAGAATTCTGAAAAACTAGTAAGATATTTGGAAGTATGCTGTCATCCTGGCAACTCCAGAGACACGCAAATCACTGCGAGGTGCTGGGGCCTGGCCCATGCCTACTGAGCCCTGTTCAACACTATTCAGTACCCTCAAGGGGAAGAGAAGGTCTCTGGATCTGATGACAAAACGACAGGCACCATGGCTACTCCAAGCCCGACGACAGGCACTGCAGCGGAACGAGAACCAACCCATGCCCGTATCAGTTGCCCTGATCCACAAGAAGTGAGTAACAGATACTGTGACCAGGACTAGAGGGGCCCTGCCTCCAGCCAAGTGGAGGAAGGGGACAAGCAAGTTTATTGGACTGTGGATTTGGTGGGCCATCGGGCCCACCGGAGTACAAGGCTCTAGTGGACACCAGTGCAGTGTACCCCAATGCCATCAAGCTGTAAGTGGACAGAACCCATCAGTATTTCTGGAGTATCAGGGGGATCCCAACAGCTGACTGTAATGGAGGCCGAAGTGAGCCTAACTGGGAATGAGTGGCAGAAGCACCCCATTGTGACTGGCCCAGAGGCTCCGTGCATCCTAGGCATAGAGTGCCTCAGGGGAGGGTATTTCAAGAACCCAAAAGGGTACTGGTGGGCTTTTGGTATAGCTGCCTTGGAGATGGAGGAAATTAAGCAGCTGTCCACCTTGCCTGGTCTCTTGGAGGACCCTTCTGTTGTGGGGTTGCTGAGGGTCAAAGAATAACAGATGCCAATTGCTACCACAACAGTGCACTGGTGGCAATATCGCACCAACAGAGACTCCCTGATCCCCATCCATGAGCTGATTTGTCAACTGGAGACCCAAGGAGCAATCAGCAAGACTCGCTCACCCTTTAACAGCCCCATATGGCCAGTGCGAAAGCCTAATGGAGAGTGGAGGCTATCGTGGCCTGAATGAAGTCACGCCACCACTGAGTGCGGCCATGCTGGACATGCTAGAACTTCAATATGAACTGGAGTCAAAGGCAGCCAAGTGGTATGACACAGCTGATATCGCTAATGTGTTTTTCTCAATCCCTCTGGCAGCAGAGTGCAGGCCACAGTTTGCTTTCACTTAGAGGGCCGTTCAGTACACCTAGAACCGACTGCCCCAGGGGTGGAAACACAGCCCTACCATTTGCCATGAACTGATCCAGACTGCACTGGAACAGGGTGAGGCTCCGAACACCTGCAGTACATTAATGACATCATCGTATGGGACAACACAGCAGAAGAGATTTCTGAGAAAGGGAAGAAAATAATCCAAATCCTTCTGACAGCTGGTTTTGCCATAGAACAAAATAAGGTCAAGGGACCTGCACAGGAGATCCATTTTTTAGGAATAAAATGGCAAGATGGATGTTGTCAGATCCCAATGGATGTGATCAACAAACAGCTATGTCCCCACCAACTAGCAAAAAGGAAACACAGGCTTTCTTAGGTGTTGTGGGTTTTTGGAGAACGCACATTCCAAATCACAGTCTGATTGCAAACCCTCTCTATCAACTGACCATCCCAAGGGAAAATGGGGTGGCCTTGGGAGCAGCCCCTCCAGGACACAGGGCTTGGGCTGAGGCTTGGTCTCTTCTTGAAAGCAAAACCCCTCATCCAGGACATGCACTGAGCCGCTTTTGGAGGAATTAGAGGAGAGCTAATTACTGGTGGCAGGTGGCACCAAGGAAGATGAGGATTAAGATGAGCTTGTAGGGGGTTTGCACCCAGCAAAGACTATTAGCCCTGAAGCTCCTGTTTATCTCAGACCCCTCTGGAGCACAGATAAACTTCTTGCGACTTTCATTTGTTTGGATTGCTTCCCTGCCTGCGCAGCACAGCTTTGAGGGGGGGAGCACGATAAGAATCTGTGTGCAGGGAGAGCTTAGTTATCTCTGCTTATTGCCGTGAGCCCAGCCTGTCTTCCCCAAGCCCCTGCACGTGATGCCATCCCAGCAGCATCTCGCTATTAACATCTATGCTTGACTAACCATAAAGCATCATCCTGCTTAACAGGCTAGGATTTTTAAAAACACCTGCTGGAAGCAGCACTTGACCTCCTGCCTCTGAAACAGAACTGTCTTCTCAACACTCTGATCCTTGCCCGGATACATGATGCAAGCTAAATCGTAACACAAGTTTAGAAAATAAGTTAATTATCAACCAAGGGCTTCCACATGCTGGCTATGTAAAGAGGCAGCCTATAAGAGGCTGAAAACAAAAAATAACAAAATACAGCAAGCCCTGTCACTCAGGTTCTTGTTCAATGCATTGCTTATTTTACAGCAAGGAATCCAAGCCTGCAGCATGCAGTGCTCTGGTAGGAAGCAATGCAAGGCAGGTTTTTCTCCTATCTGCAGAGAAAATAAGTAATTTTTAATAAAAAAATGATTTTGATTTTTACTAGTGACTTTTAACAGAAACTTTCGAGACAGTTATAAAAAAATTGAAGATGGAAGATAAAAGGAGCCACTTCAGTTCAAGCTCTTTCAATGCTGCCAGTCAGCTTCCAGCTGCACATCTGAATTGTAAGCACAGGGTTCTCCCTGTGCTCAGAAATCCCCCTCCAAGCTTGCAAGACCTGCCCTTACCCCACCCTTATTGGGTTTCTCAACTAATGACACATTGTCAGCTGGTTTAAGGCTTCTGACCTTGCTGTGCATTTCAAAACGCCACAAGTGAAATTTTCAAGCAGAGAGGTTTGGGGTACCCCCATCCAGCACCTACCTGCTTCAGGGTACTTGTGACTACTCCACATCACTCCAGGGAGCTTGGGGAACTGCGGGTGGCACCTCTGCTAAGCTGCCTCTCCCTCTTCCCTGCAT